TTTCGAAAGCTCAGAAGTCCCCTGACTGGTTGGGTTATGGGTGATATCTGTTACTTGCTCGCTCTAGTTGGCTGTTCTCATTTAAATGGCATATGAAATTTCACAGCATTCGTATTTCAGTTCTATTGTTGTTACGCCATGGATCCAGTACCTAACTGATATGTTGCCTAAGTTGGGACTTGATTGCTCATTTGCACCACCAGAACCCTTAGATCGACCGGGTCTTTCCAGTCACTGACCCTGTGGGCCTCTCATCCCCCTAGGTCTCTGACCCAATCTGACCCAAATGCCCCTCCCCAGAACCAGACCAGACCAGATCGGACCAGTCAGTCTGCGACATAGGCCGCGCGTGCGTCCATGTAAAAGTGAAAGTGTTTGTGGCGCTGCGCGACCTCTGAGGCCGTACGCCGGCCGTTGAACCGTTGGCCGACCCATCGGTGACCTCAATAGCTGCCTGACATGACGCCGCCGGGGGGGGGGGGAGCTCTGGACAGCTTCATGCGGTTACGAAGTCGCTCGCCTCGCCGCACTGCATGACCTGTCATGAGTGAAGAGCAGCAGGTTTTGGAGCGGGCTGAGGCAATGATTGCTGCATTGCATGGGCGGTTTATCCAGCCATGAAGTTTCACTTACACTCTGAGGCCCTATTATGGTGACAGAATAAGTGAAATCATTTTGATTTCTAGACAAGATGAATAGCTTGTTTTCCTATTGTAAGCCGCGTGATTGGACCATCGACGCTTGCTGCATTGTTATCAGTTCAAAATCTAGCTCCACGCGGACTCCGCGTAGGTATTATTTTTCTAGTGCAAGATTGTCGTTACTATTGCATCTTACTGATGCGTCTGTGGGAGCTCGGCTGGTACGGTTTCGTTCGTATGCCACTCACTGTCCGTCCTATTTGCCAATCTCCCGTCGTAATCTGCCATCTGGTGGCAGTCTAGCAAACCTCTACTCGGCTGCCCAGTCGTAAACAACAGTTGCGAAAACTGCCGATAGGTGGCGGGCAGGTTCAGGCCGGCTCCGGCCGACAGTTCGCGTGGGTTGGCAGCCTGATGTATTTCACCAGCGGAAAGCTACCAGCCACTGTTGGTGGTTCGACGAACTGGAGGCTCGAGCAGGATGAAAGCTTGGGTTTTCAGTATCGTGCGCGCTCCATCCCGCTGGGGTAATGGACCAATGAGAGACCAGTGAGTCCATTGATGGTCGTGGCTTAGTGCATAACTGATGGGCTATTTTATGGTAATGGGTACGTCCTCGCCTCAAACGCAAACAATGATTGATGAATTGGCTTATTCCTTGTGTTTGTTGAAAAGAACAACGGGAGAATTGGAGACCTGTTCCATGATACCGGCTCGGGCACAAAGACCTAGATTTCTGGCGCACAGGCAGCGTACCGAGGCAGAATCACTTTGTACCGAGGGAGCTCGTGCACCATGTGGACCCATTAAACCTCCGTGTATATATTATCTGTCACTGACCCCTCGGGTGCAGCAGCGTTCTCAAGACGCTCCGTGCCGCCGCACTGCTGTTCGCTCAATTAGCCCGTCGCTGCCCATCGGGCTCCGTGGCACGGACGTCCCCGCCGCCTTCACGGCTCACTGACCAGACGTCGGCGCCGCGCGCACCTTAGAGCCACCTGGCGGGTATTTCGGGCAGCGGTCGACGGCCGGTCGCCGGCGTGTACGCATGCGCTGAACGCGGTGAGCCCAGCTGCACGAGGAAGCGCCGCGACCGGTTGTTCAACTTTTGGTTTCTACCGCTCTTGGAGTGCCCTTCACGCGTTGCGCTGCGGCGCCGGCCGGTGGCGCCTAACGGTGCCCGGTCATGACCACAGCGCGTGCACGAGCGCCGCTTCTCACGGCGAGCTGCGACCGAGCCCAATCTGGACTGAACTGGAGGCGGGCGGCGCGCGCGCGTCGGCGCTTCCTTCCGGGAGGGATAACCTCAGCGGCGCGGCGGACGTCGCGGCACCCGGCCGGGCGGGGTAACTTTCGGCGGAGCCTTGACACTCGCGGTGCCACTGGTGGCGGTGAAATGGAGCTCTGATAGATGAAAGGAGTCATTTCGAGCTACTGCACTGCTGAAGTTAGATATTCCAGAGGTGGGTGTGAGCGCACGTTATGTAACAAATCCCCGAAGTCAGTTATGATAGCGGTCCAGTGGGTTATACAGGATAATACGAGCTCACTGCAGCCGAGAGAGCCTGTGGCACGCTGCGCTGCACGCTCAGCACTCAGTTAGCCATAAAGCGGGAAGCTGCCGCACCCAACCATAACAGTTATCCCCAGAGCGTGATCGAAGAGGCATTTATAGTCGCCATACATTGGTGGTGATTGGGTCTGTTGCAACTTAATCTTAAAACCCTCGGAAGAGTCCAATGGCTCTGTCCAATGTCTCCCATCCCCGTCCCTCCACAATACGCCGTCCTGTCATTTAAATGCCCGCGTCCTTGAGTCCCTCGGGCGGGCGTTGAGGACACTGTCCTCTGTGGACAGACCGTCCCTCTCCGCCGGCGGCCGTCGTCCCGTCCGTACACCTGTACGACGGTCGCCTCCCCCGCCGTCGGGCGGCCGCCCCGCACCGTCTGTCCGCCACAAGATCAAGGTCCCAGGTTCAACGGACCCGCCGAGCGGCCAATGAGAGCGGCTGTCCGGCTGGTTCCCTCGCTCGCGCGGCGCGGTTCCCGTCTGCCGGTCGCTGCACCCCGCCCGCCGCCCGCCGTCCGGCGCAGAGCCGAGCTCCGCCCGGCAGTCCGGCCGCGCCCGTCGCGACACGCGCCTCTTTCGGCGGACATTGCGCGTCAGGCGGTGTGCTGTGTGCGTGTGTGTGAGTGCGTGAGCCGAGAGGAGCCGCCATGGAGGGCGCCAGTGTGAGCAGCAGCTCTGCAGAAGACCCGTTCGTGGCGCCGTTGCCGCTCGGTAGGTCCTGCCGACGATTGCGGCGCGTGGAGTTACTGGAATTGGGGAGCGGACCTTGAAAAGCTGCGGCTTATCTGCTGTTTTTAATTTGATCTTAACATTTTGTTGTGGTTTACAAAGTGACAAGCGTGTATGGAAGTCTTTTACGGCCCGAAGTTTAGCATTTAAATGGCCCCGCTGGGGTATTTAAATGAACAAATCCTTTGGTCTAAGGTCTTGGCAATTGGCATTAAAGCATCATTAATCATTATGCACCAGCTACATCAGGCAAACATTGAGCGGATTAGCCGGCGTGTCATCCCTGCTGTTGACCACTCTCCCCTGTCCGCCCGCTCCCTGGCCCTGTCCAGTGTCCGCACTCCCCGTAGTACGCCCGCAGTTTGCCGTCGGGCCGCTGAGGGCACCACCCAGTCCCGTCTCCAGATGAATCCAGTTACGTCATGTCGGCTCTTCCGGGCCGTATTACGCCACTCCGCCCCATGTCGACATCTTCGTGTATCTTGTCCGTCTAGCCAGCGCCTCCCCGCCGCCCCGCCCCCGCCCGGGCGGCGAGTCTCGTGCTCCTCGCGCCGGCCGGCGGCCCGTCGCGTGGCTCGGAAAAACACATGGAGCAGACGAAGCGCGGGGTTAGCGACCCGGCACCGCGGAAATAGTCTGCGCCAGCTGTCAGTGGTCGGTCTGAACTGGACGGCCGTCGGTCGGTCTGACAGGACTGTCATCAGCGCGGCGGGGACACATTGATAAGCTGCTGAATGATGGATTAGTACCTATACACTTCTCAAAAGTGATTGATATGAGCAAGAAATGAAGGAGCATTGTTTATCAGCGATCGATGTCAGCGAGCGATTCAGTCGTAATATGAAGTCCCTACAATGGCCCGTCACACTTTACAAAAGCACGGACAGTTTTGTCATATCATCGTAGCATCTTGATAGCGATTTAACCTTACCACAAGACCATTGCATCTCAGCTGACCAATTGTCATCACCACATCACAATAATCGAATCACGTCACTCCCATCCGTCGTAGCATCATTCTATGGCCGGGTAATCCACCCCAGCCGAGCAGTACACTTGTAATCCGTGTAAAAACAACCGACGTAGCACAGTAGTGGCCGCCGGGACCGGTCTGAGTATTTGTCGTTCAACACCGGGAGTCCTTTCGCTGACGCTCAGCTCTGAGGGCCGGACCAGTGTATACGTATATTCATGAGGTCGGGCCTGACTCAATCGAGGAGGTGTGACGTCAATGATTATTCCAGCGGGGCCCCAATATGAGAGGCCAATATTCCTGAATGAATGGCCAGTTCGGCCACTCCTTTAAAGGGACCCTCCCACCTTCAAAAAAGTTAATGAATTGGCACGAAAGTGATGTCGCTCGGTTCAGAAAGAGCGAAAACGAATATCTACCAAATTTCATCGAAAAATATTCACCGGTTTTCAAGATATTAGACTTTTACTTTTGTTTACTTTTTGGGATCTCCGCTGTTCCTAGCGACTTTATTTGAAAGTGCGACATTTGTTGCGCGCAAAGCAGCATATACCACCGCGTGCTACCAAACGTTTTAGTAAAAGATTTAAAATCGTTTGATCTCCGCTGACGTCACAAATTCTAAGGGGGCATACCAATGCACTAGCCCCTTAGAATCCGAAAACTGCAAGTTTGAAATTCCATATCTCCGAATTAAAGCATTTGTCGATGTTGTGAGTGCCCAAACCGGTATTTGCAGGCCATGGCCACCAATTTGGCTATCTCAACTCAAAACTAATGTTAAGGTGGGAGTGTCCCTTTAAGCCTGAGACATGTGATCTTTGCTGTCATTGTCTGTGAATATTGTGATTTGTTGTTTGAAACTGTGTCTTTCTAGGTGTGCTGTTGTGATATCAGTCAGCTGTTTCTGTATTCGGCGTAACCGCGAAACTGCTGTTCGTGAGTCACGATTAGTGACTGATCGTGTCGGAACCAGAACTGTTTGTGTTCATACCGCGTATCCCGGACACCTTCGGTAGCATCCACAACAGCAGCGTCACGGCTCTTGTAGCACGAACTAACCGTAACCATGTCCCGATGTGTTTCAGATTTTGACGGCACGGCTGTGCTGTGCCAGGTGTGCGGGGACAAGGCGTCCGGATTCCACTATGGAGTCCACTCGTGTGAAGGATGCAAGGTGAGAGAGACAAGGGAGACATCGCGGGAGCGTGGGGATTCAGCTTGCCTTTGTATGCACGAACCGGGCCGGGCTGACTTATGTCCAAGAGTGAAACCGTTTCGAGTTAGTTAGCTGAAACAGTTGTTAGTGCTTATCCCACACTAGATTCCCGTTCAATGTTGGTGGCAGAGCTGCCTTTTCAACCTTGAAGTGCAACAAGTGCGGGGAAGGAAAATCCCCGCTGCCCTCAATTCAGCCCACCAACTACACTTCCCCCTCCCCCTCCCTCTCTCGTGCGTGCGTCGGCGACCTCGGTTCAGCCCCCCCCCCCCTCTCGGGCGGAGAGCGTCGCCTCGTAGTCGATCCATACCGCTCGGCCTCGAGAGTCGTCGTCGACGGTGCCGCGAGTATCCCTGAAACCATCGACCGCCGATGCGGCCTTCGGCGGCGCTGGGCGGCGCGCCGCGCGCTCGAGCCGCCACGGGGTCAGACGGGTCGCGCACTGCCGATAGCCGCCGGCTATGGGCGGCGGCATCGACCTGGCGACCGAGGTCACTGGCGGCACAGACGTTCACCCGGCCGCCGGCCAAGGCCATGGGAGGCAGGGAGGGGGGGGGGGTGGAGTCGTCTGTGTGAGGCGGAGGAAGGAAGGAGGGGGAAGACGGCAAGTCGAGCAAAATGATATGGAGGTTGCGGCTGGGTGACCAAAGCAGGTATTTGCCAGAGTTCGGGTGGGGATAACTTCGAGAATAATTTTATGATGTTTGAACGGGCTAAATGCAAAAAAAAAAATCCGGACCAGCTCGCAGTTCGACTTGCATTTTCGACTAGCTCGAGGCCCAATGCCGCTTCAGAATTTCCAACCACTTCTTATAGCTTACACTTTGATTTCTCGATTTTGGCCTGTCATCCAAATCCATGGCTCACAACCACTACGGCCGTTGCCCCAAGGGCGGCCAAGCGTCACGATCCGCCGCTGCTGCCGCCGCCCGGCTGGAGGTGCTGCCATTGACCTCCGGCGGTCAGGCACCTGGCGGCGGCGGCACCGGCGGCAGCGACAGCGGCAGCGGCAGCGACTGGGAATGACCGACGGACGCTGACCGGAGGCGGCGCGCGCGCTCGCCCGTGACGCCTGAGAAAACATGGACCCGAGCGGCGGCCCGCGCCGGCGGCAGGAACAAAACCGTCCCACCGCTGGAATTCCAATCACAAGCGATGTTGTTGTTTGTTGTGTATCCCTGTGAACAATCTGAATGAGCTGACCCAAAATCAGCTGCTATTTCCAGTCAGCTTTTTGCACTGCCGTCCCAGTTTCTGCACTAACCCGTTGACTTGTGATCTTTTGCAGGGCTTTTTCCGCCGTTCGATTCAGCAGAAGATTCAGTACAAGCCGTGTACCAAGAGCCAGAACTGCTCCGTGCTGAGGATCAACCGCAATCGCTGCCAATACTGCCGACTCAAGAAGTGTCTCACTGTTGGAATGAGCCGCGATGGTAAGTCACAACTCTGTCACCGTTTTGCCTACGGTATAAACCTGTCTGTGGTGGATACCATCCTCATAATGCCGAGTTTCCGGGATCGTAACCCGCTACGCTGGTCACCTTATCATTGTCGTGAACAAGTCAAGGCTATGCTCCACACCGGCGCCATTGTCATACAGGCTTCCTCAGAAAAATGCTGGCACGATAAGGTGCCGGTGGCGTGGTGGCCAAGTGGTGCATGTCGGTATTTTGGGAGCACGGATCGCGCCCGCCTCGGCGGTGGACCTCTTTGTCCAGTCGGGACGGCCCGCTGGATCGGGGGAGGGGGGGGGGGCGTCCGGGTCATGAGGCGCGCGCCAGCCCCGCTCCGGGATGACGTCATCGCGCCGCTCTGCAGGGGCCAACGACCGCTGCAGTGAGGTCGATGACCCGGCACCACCCGGCGTCCCCTGCGAACGGCAGGCGGTCTTCTCAGGATACTTTCCTCTCTCCTCGCTCCCACTACTTAACGTCCACCCCCACCGCCCACCTCCGCCCACAGTCCCACCGCCCACCACCCCTCACCGCCCACCGCCCGCCGCCCGCCGCACGCGACAAGTGCTCCTCTGGTAACGGGACGTGCCATGGCGGGGCTATGGCGGTGCTCCAGATGCGTCGGTCGGTACGCAGCGCGCGTGCCGCCGAGGAGGTCATGCACCCCACCTCTGAAACTGCGCGCGGCTGTCGGGGCGGGCGGAGTGTGGAGGTCGGGAGTCGGGACTGAGGAGATTTGCCGCGAATGATGTCTGTGAAGGGCAATAGACCAAAGAGATCTATGGGATCCTTGAGCGCGCACGTTCTGGCGACTGTTGCATTGCGGGGACCTGGAGTAAATGGGGTCGTATAGGAACAGCAGCATGTTTGCAGGCCTTCAAATAAACCTTCCTTTATCTAAAATGGTACAAGTGTTTGGTGCAGTTGGCACTCGACGGGTGACCCATTTCCCAGCTCATGTTGAGATAACAGCTTCCCGTTGCAAAATGTATTTTGAGAGTGTTCATTTCATCACAAAGGAGCTCTGTCCCACATTCCGCGGAATTGCGCTCCGCCCTCGAATCTCAGAGCGTTCACCCTCATCTCCTTGCGACTGGTGACCGGTGTTGACCCGTCGATGACCTGTTGATGACCCATGAGTTGCCGCTCATGACCGCGATCACCGACCACTGACGGCGCCAGGGGAACGTCCGGGGCGGCCCGCCGAGTATGACACACTCCGGACGTGGCGATAGGTCCGCCCCTCGGCCGCGCCCGCCCCCGCCCCCGCCGCCGCCGCTCGGTCAGCGACCCCGCCATGACGGGTCACCGGGCGCCGCCGCCGCCGCCGCCACTGCCCCAGTTGGCGGCGCTAATCTGAGGCGGCGGCGGCGCGCCGGCCAGAAGGGCTGGTCCGCGCGCGAGCTACGGTCGAGCCGCCGCCCGTCCGACCGTCTGGTCTGCTCTGCTCTGGTCTGGTCTGGTCTGTTTTGGTCTGGTCAGGTCTGAGCACCAGTCATTGTGAGGGTGAATATTGTGTGAGGTGAAGGCATCCGACATGGGTTACAACGCCAAAAGTGAGTTCTCCCCATTCATTGCTTCCTATAGATTTCGTGATTCCACACTACTCTAGCATTTCTGAATTTGGTGTTGTTAATGGGAAATTGTGTTTGAGATTGGTTGACAATATTTGTGTCCGTGTTGGCTTTTCTGCTCTTCACAAAACAACAGTACGCGGATCTTCCTACCTCGCCCCACCCCTCGATCTCCGGCGATTTATCAGTTTTCGTCTCGCCGGCAGTCGCTGCCCAACATCTGTTGCCCCTGTCTAGTGTCGATGTCCTCCTCATCGGTCACCGCCCCCAGAGCGGCCGCCGTCCTCACCTGATGACGTCATGTTGCCCTGACTGCTCTCCCTGATCCTCTCTCCCATTCGTTCTCTTCTAAATCCCACTTCCTTTTCTCCTTACTGTGTGCTCTCGTAGTCGTCCAAGCTCTTTCGTCGTGTTAATTTTTTTTTCGTTCATCCTCTTCACTCCTGAGTCCTGACCTCTGTTGCATCTCATCACCCTCTTTGCTGTCTTCTTCATTCTCGCATGCTCTTTGTCGTCTTTCATCGTCGTCTTTTCTGGTCTTCACGTCCGCTTCTTTGTCATCCCATTCCCTCGCTTGTCCTTCGCCCTTCGATCAATGTCCTGCGTCTTTGCTCTTATTTACCCATTGATCTTCTGTTGGCTTCCGAGTTCTGAATTATGGTTCATCCACCTGTGCGACATCCCGTCCTCATTGCACAATCACATGTCCTCTCATACGTCCTCATTTTGTTATTACCTGTCCTGTCCTCATCCCGTCCTCATTTCGCGATCACCTCCTCTCATCCCGTCCGTCCTCATTTTGCTATCACGTGTCCTCATCCCGTCCTCATTTCGCTATCACCTGTCCTCCCATGCCGTCCTCATTTCGCTATCAGCTGTGTCTGCTCGACGGCTCTACTAAGAGCAGTGACCCCGCTCTGTGCGGGTTCAGTACCCTCGCCAGCCGCCGCCGCCGCAGCGGCCACAGCCCTCTGCTGCCCTGAACCCGGCGGCGCCGTCTGCCCCGGCCACTGCAGATCAGCTGTGGGATGCTCCTCCCTCCTCTGGGGAGCCAGTCATGGGGTCAGTCACCCTCTGCGCCACCGCCGCCGCTCGGCCGGTCACGCAGGAAGTTCACGCAGAACTTCCGCTGCGCTATTACCGTCTCGCCTGCGCCAGGAACGGGACATAATTGTGGCGCAGTGGCGGCGGGCAGCGGCGCGCGACCAGACGCCAGCGCCGCGGGCCGGGGTCACTGGCTCGGTAATGGCCCGTACGCTGAGCGCTCCTTCCTGGAGTAGGTACCCATTGCCCTCTCGTCGTCTGAGGAGCTGAACGGTGCCCTCGTTTTTGCCATCGCTCGTCGTTGGTCGGAGATTGCAAGTGCTGGCAGTCACGGACGAGAGGCATGCTCGTTTGGGGTGTGGCGTCTGAGGCATGATAGGACGCATGCTGATGGGTTTCTGGTGCGAGGGTTTGGTGGGTGGCCGGAAGGGACTGACCGAGGCCCTCTTGTGGCCTGAACTCTGGAATGGGAGCAGTGTGGGGGACCGGCCGATGACTCGGGAGCTGAGTCACCCGACGACTCCCCTGAGTCACCCTCGGGTTCCGATCCTCATTGGGGTCACTGCGAGCTGCAGAGAATCAGATCAGCTGCCCTGTCCTCCGGGTACCGACATAATTGATTGGTTTAAACGCACCACTGAAGGCATAAGTGGTTCAAATGGCCAAAAACGCAGCGATTTCCCCTCGACGTTCGCCGGGATTATTTGATTCCGCGCTCGAAGTTTCTGGCAGCGCTGTTCCGCCTCCGCGGTGCTCGAGCGCTACCGTCGCAAACAACCTCCTCGTCCTCGCAGCGATGACCCACCTGACGGTCGTCGCCCCCCGATAAATGGGTCAGCGGCGCCCCCGCCTCGCCTCCGCCCCCCTATTGACGCGCCGGCTCAGTTTCAAGGTCGGGCGCAGCGCGCAGCCGCCGGCGGCCGGCAGCGACGGCGTGCGCCCCCGCCGTACTGCAGTCGCCCCCCGCGCCGCGCCGCCGCAGCCGCCGCCGCTCCGCCGCGCCGTCCGAGAGGCCGGTCCTGCAGTGTCGGGTGGTCGTGTGAGGACGCGAGCGGTGTCACAGAGTGCAGCGAGAGAGGAGGGAGAGAGAGAGTGGCGAGATGGTCGGGATGGATGTGGTCAGCCGGTCCCCGATTCTCAAAGGGATTCTGCAGGGAGAAGCGGAAGCAAAACCAAGACCGAGTTCGCGTAAGTTTGAGGCTCGCTGGCAGCAGTCGGGAATACAGGCCGTTGGCTCCGGCTCTGGACGGGTCATTGCTTTTCTTGGCCCGGCTCTGTGCCCCTGCAGGAGCCCTCTTGCCCTAGTCACGATGAAGTTGTGGTTTCGTGCGACGTTTCTGATTGATATCGCCTGCAGAATTGCCGACTCATTGCTCTGTAATTGTCCAGATGGGCTTCCATTCGTGACTGGCCAGTCTGAGTCGTAGTGCCTGGTTAGTTGATCTGAAAACTGCCTACAAATTTTCTGTCTACTTAACATTACTGATAGCTACTTCTTCTTCCGGTACGCGTCGAATGACGACCGTACTCGATCGTCGAGTCACACCCCGGCGCCATGTCCCCTTCCGGTTCCGACTTCCTCGTCGCCCAGCCTTCCTGTGCGTGAGCTGTTTCCGTTTGCCCGCACACCCGCCCGACCCCCAGCCAGTGCGCTGCCGGTTCCGCATCGGCCGCTATGCTAATGACCTCCGGTAAAGGTCTCTCTGCTGTCGGCGAGATTCAGCTCGCTCGGGAGTGCCGGGCGGCCGGCCGGCTCCGTTAGTCCGGCGCCGTGCCGATGAGACCGGTACGGAGACGGGTTTTTCTCGCTCCAATACGGTGTGAGTGGCACAGTGAGCCAGTTAACTGGCACGTTTGGGGTCAGCCGTGTGCCGCTATCTGGGTTACGCACGGCCGGTCCGGGTTTTCGGCAGCGTTGGGAAATCAGATGAATTAGGTTGTGGGACGGCTTTTGCGAGAGGTGGGTCCGGTTTGGTGTCTTAGTATTTTCGTCAGATTTGTGATCTTCTTTTATATTGAATCAATGAAATTAATTTGTCGCTACCCTTGTCGTGTCTCTTATTAGCACGCCATGCTTCCACTCTGTCTTATCTGATCGCATTTTCGTCGCATCCGTGTTACTTTCCAGCCATTTTCCTCTCAATTTTCCTATCCACCCAGCCATCACCTCTTGACCTGTTTCATCCTCCTCTAACCCTGCACTCTCCTGCTTTAGCCGTGTGTTTCGGCCGCGTCTAACCCGTTTTTCTCCTCCGTTTCAGCTGTGCGTTTCGGCCGCGTGCCCAAGCGGGAGAAGGCCAAGATGTTGGCTGCGATGCAGTCGGTGAGTCGGCAGCAGCAGCAGCGCCAGCAGACGGCTCTGGCTGAGCTCGAGGACGGCCCGGTGCTGGCTGAGGCCGTGGTGCGCGCCCACCTGCTCACCTGCCAGTTCACCGGGGGACGGGTGGCCGCGCTACTGGAGAGGGCACGTCTTACGGCCCAGCAGGGAGCCGCCGATACCGCCGCCAACGTGAGTGTAACGGGACTACCGCAGGACGGCGCGCGGCAGCGCCGGATTCGCTGAAATACTGAGCCTCATGGCCTTCACGCTTTGTTGGCTCTTTTGTGAATGTGACGATATCTAGACAACAAGTTGAAATGTTTCATTTAGCATACTGAGCCCATAATCACATCCTTATCAGCGTTCATCTCTGTTGTATTCGGCGACGTTAAAGCCGCCACATCTCACACGCGCCGGTTTAATACCCTGTCAAGGGCGCACGACACGGCGCGCCTAAAGCCGGAAAGTGTTTCATTGCCATCGCCCTGCTCTGGCCCGGTGAGGCATCTTCTCACGACAGCGGGCGCCCGGAGCAGCTCTGTCCTCGGCGCGGGCCGCTGTCCCTGTGTGAACGGACGGGAAGTGTGCACACTGCACAGTGCACCGGCCGGGCCGTACATGTCGGTCAGTGGGCCGCCGGACCAAGGCCAGGCCGGGCCGCTGCCGCCGACTGCAAACTGTGCAATTTCCTGACACGGTCGCTGTCGCTATGACCGCCATCGGTGCCATCGGTGCAGCCTGCAGTCCATCAGCGCGACACGGAACGCACCCTTCGGCAGTCATGTAACTCGTTGGCATGCCATCTACTCGAGCAGTACTCCTGGGAATACTACAGCACAAGGCTTTATCGGTTGACGATTGCACTTTTGTCCGTAGTTGTCAAGGTCTTCAAGCTACTGCCCAGTGCCCACCTTATATGGATTGATGGGCATCAAGATTACTTTACAATACGGGCAAGGGCATCATATTTTGCCATTTTGTAATATTGAATTATTATTTAATATGCCATTTGAGTAGTTATGTCCATTTGAAGTCAGCAGACCTTTTTATGTGCCACACCTGCCTCAGAGGAACCCTAGATCTCCCTCTTTCTCAGCGTAAAATCCCGGCTGTCGCAATCAAGCCCGTCCGTTGTCTCAGAAGCCATCCCAGCGCCTCTTTGCGAGCGAACAACAACCCTGTGCTAACCTCCGACCTCTCTGTCCTCCCTGCGCTCTCTCTATCCACCTCAATCGACCGGCCGGTCCGGGCGCGTCGAGTGACGCACGCACTCTCTCTCTCTCCACTTCCGCCCCTCTCCCCCCTCGGGCACGTGGCTCGCGCTGCCGCCTCCTGCGCTGCTCAGCCGCTGACGTCACCGCTCACCTTGGAGTGCCTCGGGGCCCAATGACCTTCGTCGGCGCCGTCGGGGTGGCCTCAGCAGCAGCGCTGTCGGCCGAGACGCCCGAGGTGCGGCTCGCTACCGACCCGGGGGCATGTTGCGGCTATCTCCGGGCGGCGAGCGGCCCGAGCCGGGCCCGTGCGCTATTGTCTCGGCCCGGCCGGCCGGCAGTGGGTCGCGACCTCGTCTGACGGGCTGGACAGGGCCGGTCGGCCGGACGGTCGGCGCTCAGGTGGCCCGGTGAGCCACATTTCGAAGGTCTCACCTGTGGAAGACCGGCCGCGCCCGGCCGGTCTGCAGATTAGGATGCTCCACTGCACCAGTACACGCGCCGAACTGTACTCCGCAGCGGTGTGGAACGTTGCAGGACGATTTTATCGTCGGCCCGGCTTCCGGCGGTGGCAGTAGGTCGTCACGACCGGCCACGAAGCACGTGGCGCGTGCTCGGCGTGACATTTGTGACACATGTGAGCCGAGGCCCGCCGCGGAGAATCCTTAGCGGGCCGCCGGCCGGGGACACCTGCGTCCCAGTTCTCCAGATAAGGTGACCTCTGCCTGCCGCCTCCAACACCGTTGTTTGCACCGAGTCATCCCGTACCGACGAGCTGTTGGCAATGTAATTACTTCTCCGTGCAACGCTCGCTTCGGCAGCACTTACCGGCAATAATTACGCCTGTTGCACAGCTGCTCGGGGCCTGCCGAGGACCATTCCACCGTGACAGGGCGTCAAGGTGACAGGCGACCCCCACGGGGAGGGGGCCGGATGCATCGATCCTTCCTACCGCACCAAGATATGCTTGCGAACGAACCGGTAGCATCTGAGCGCTTCTGGCACGCTCCGGTTTCGTTCTGAGAAGGCCGTGAGCCGTTGGCGGTGGCGCGGCGTGGGCCGGCGCAGGGGCGCTGAACTCTGCCCGCTGCCAGTCAAGGGCAGACGGGTGCCGCCGCCAGAGCGGGAAGCCATGGGATCCGGGAGACCGACTCGAGCCACCTGGTGATGTGCACGTTCATGGAATGGGTGCGGGGAGCTCTCGGCACGAGGCTCGGCGGTGTGGAATGCCCCGGGGTAGGGAAGCTGAGCTCAGGGGCAGCGCTGCATTCTTTCAGGACTGACGTGGCCTCCGGTGACGCTCGATGACGTGGGCGGTGACATTGGGCGGGTGACGGTGACGGTCACTGGTGGCGTGGTCGCGGTCACAGGTCGAGCGCCGGCCGGGAGGGGTAACCTTGGCCGACGGCCAGCCTTGAATTGTAGTCCTATCTTCAGACGAGGTCGGCCGGCGGGTGATAAGATAGCCCTTTCCGCGTCCATGACACGAGACAACGCGTCGAGACAAGGAACAGAAGCCAAAGCTGTCTTAAGTGTAACCATCTGCTGCTATGAGGAAGTTGGCCAAACGTTAAGCAATGCATATACAACATATTAAAGAAAGATATTGCAAAATCATTGTCGCAATCAGACTTCAGATTACGAAAACGCTTTACGTGTTTTGTTCCGAAATTGCGAAATGTTATCGACTGTCACCTTATCGTGACGCGTCAACTGCGCGACAGTACCGGGTACCTTCATCCTGGTTCGGACCGCGAATTTCGTTGTTCTCCCATCTTAGGGCTGCCAAGTCTCACGTCAACTCGGGGAGGGGAGGGGCATTCCCGGCAGTGGCGACGTCATCTGTGACGTCAGCCGGCCTGCCCGAGGTCGCGAACTGAACAAACAACCTGCCTGAGAGGCGGATTTGAGTCCCGGTGCGGTAGCGGCCCGTTGTGGGTATTTATAAACGGCGCCGGCTTATACTATGCCCCGATTCATCCGACCCCGCGATTTTAAAATGCTGGAAATGAGGTCTCTCCTGTCTTTTCGTCTGACAACCTCTCATCCTTATCTCGGTCTTGAGAAGTCAATCCTGTTCCGCGTTTGACGGCTGCGGCTATCGTTCTGCTCCAGATCGTTGCACAAACACGCCACCTCATTCGGGGAACTTCAACAGTCGATGGCGTGACCTGTTCGTCCCATGGGGCCCCCGCGGCCGGCTTCTGACCTTGGCTGTCCGTTAGTTTTCACAGTGACGTGTCGTGTCCCTTGCACGTGTCAATCACCACGCTGACGTGTCCTTATGGCGAGGTCGACTGCCGTCCCACAAACTGACGTTGCACAACTGACGTTTCTTATCCATATTTTCTCTTCTGATATCCCAAAAACTGATGCCCTCACAGCTAGCATTTCCAACCTTCGTGCCCATCTGACATTTCTCTCTCCCTTTCCAGGCGTGCCCTCTGAGCCCAGCCGAGTCCTCCTCACTCGGCACCGACCTGGGCGAATCAGAACTCTTCGGCCCGCACATCAAGGCGGTGGTGGAGTTCGCCAAGCGTCTGCCGGGCTTCCTGCGACTGCCGGAGGAGGACCGCGTCACCCTGCTCAAGTCGAGTGTGTTCGAGGTGCTGCTGGTCTGGCTGGCCGCCACGTTTGACGCTGAGGTGAGCGCGAGAGAAATGCTGCGGTGGATAGATTGTGGGAGATAAGTGTGGGAGGGCGGGAGACGGGGTAGATGAAGATACGGGAGATATTTTGTTGTGCCATGATATGTGGGGAAAAACTCGTTTGGTGGTGCGCATTAATTACGCAAAATATACGTGGATAATGTCAGTAGTGCTGTAACCACGGGTTGGAACGGAGCGAATTGGTCTTGGTTGACCAATAGATACGGAAGAAGAATAGCTGGGAAGGTAGTGGGAGTGGCAAAGGACGAGATAGGCGTGGGATAGTAGACATCTCTCTTTGAATTATCAACTTCTGAGAGCCACGACCGCTAAACCGGTGCAGTGATACCGGTCGAAACTGGCCGGGGGCGCCGGACGGAGCGCCACGTTCATGGAATGCCCGTTCGCGGAAGTCACCAGGGTCGGACGGGAAAGTTCGCCCGCCGAGCCGCTGCTGGCGAGCTGTTGGGGCGATAAGTTGGATACCGTCAGGGGCATCCGGGTCGCTGAAAACGTTCACTGCGAGCTCTTATTGCGTGACCTGCAATACCAGTCGCAGTCAGGAAGTGTGAGCGGAGTCCATCTAAAATTGAATCAGCCCACTCGCTGGTCGTGTACTTTCTCAGTAGTGCGCCGTATTTCAGCTCCGACTCTCGCGTTCCATCAGTTCCGCTACTAAATGGCCGGTCATGGGGCCGCTAAATGACCGTCATGTGGTTGCTAAATCACCAGCCGGGCACATGCGCTCTGCTCCCATTTCGCTCCGACTCAGTCGAAAGGTCATCGCCCTCGGCACTGCGCACGGCTCAGGGCGCGGTGGGGCGGCGCTGATCGATAGAGTGGCGGCGGCAGCGGAGGCGGCCGAGGGGGTTGCATCACGCCATGGGCGTCACGCCCCCCCCCCCCCCCCAGCCAGCGGTCATGAACCGACTCGGCCTGACTCGTGCGGGGCTGTCCACCCCGGGTGACGTCGTATGATAGAGGGAGGCACCGCTGGGTTACCGGTCACCTTTGCCTCACGGTCAAGGTCACTCATGGCGCAGGCTGTGCCAAGGGGAGGGGTGAGGCAGTGGTGCCTGCCGCCAGGGCGGCCCTATGACGTCAGTTCCCCAGTTCTTGCGTCACGGGTGCCGTTCTAGTCCGTACTTGCAAACTCCGGGTGTGGCAGCCGGGAAAAGTCGGACCGAATTGCCGGGGAATTTGATCCTGGGATGATGACGCTCGTCATTAATGCGGTAGTGGTGGCCAATGAGGGCCTCTAATTGCTTGTGCTGACGTCAGAGCCGAGAAAGGTAGCGCGCCGCGTGTGAATTGATTCGTTCATTATCACCTGTGGAGGTATCTAACCGAGCTCTCCTTGTTTCCAGACGAGCACCGTAGCCTGCCTGAACGGCCAGCTGGTGCGCCGCGAGGCGTACGCCGTCGGCTCTCAGCCCCGCTTCCTGCTCGACTCCATGTTCGAGTTCGCCTCTCAGCTGAACGCGCTGCGCCTGGATGACGCCGAGATCGGTCTGTTCTGCGCCTGCGTGGTTCTGACCGCCGAGCGGCCCGGCCTGCGCAGCGGCACGCTGGTCGGTCACCTGCGCGCCCGGCTGGACGCCGCACTCCGCGAGCGGCTGGCTGTCAGCCACAGCGCTCAGCCGGACACCTACGAGCGCCTGTCGCGTAAGGTGCATGACCTGAAGACGCTCAACTCGCTGCACGCCGACCTGGTTCGCTCTCTGCGCGTGCCGGAGGAGACGGCCGTGTCGCCTGCCTGGTCGGCGGCCACCCCTCGGCGGGCCGCCTGCTCCCCCTGCAGCGCCAGCTCCGGCTATGTGGGTAGCGAGGAGGAGGGCCGCGGCCGGTCGCCGACCCCTCCCTCCCGCGACCTGCCGCGGCTGGCCGCCGCCCTGCTCTCCCACAAACGGCGAGCCGAGGACGACGGTCGCGCGGCGGCCGCCAGCCCGCCGGCCTCCCCACCCTCCCTCGAGGGCGGCGCCGGCGGAGACGAGTACATGCCGCTACTGAAGCAGGCGCTGGCCGCCCCCGGCCTGGCTACTGCCGAACACCCCCTGCCGCACAAGAAGTTCCGCTGGCTGCGCCGGGAGAGCGGCGTCGAGGGAGATGCTGCAGAGGAGGAGCGGGCGGCCGCACGCGCCGGCGCCACGCCCACACTGAGCCGGATCCTGGGCGCGCCGCCGCAGCGGCCCTGGAGCTCGGAGCAGATCCGCCAGCGCGAGGTGGTCGCCCGGCTACTGGGCATGCCGCCGTCGCCGGCTCCCTCATCCAGCCCGGCGGCTGGCACACCGCCCTCGACACCGTCGGTCAGCCACTCCCCCTCCCCCTCCGCTCCCGCTGCCTCTCAGGCGGAGCAGCCGCTCAACCTGACGAAGAGCGTACGCAGCCCCTCGCTGGAGGCCGTGCAGTGACTGGTGCCGCCCGGCACGCCTCGCCCGGCCTCTCAGTTGGTCTGTACATACCTGCGGCCAAATGTGCCAGTTTCCTAGTACAAAACGACGCACGCACACTGTCGCGTAAAAGACAAATGCTCGGCCCCTGTGGCCGCTCTTGTTCGCTGTTCTGGATTATTGTTTAGCACATGTGTATAGTGTATAAATAGCAAATACAGAGACGCGTTGTTGTGAGACCGGGTGCTGTTTTCTCCGGGGTTCAACAGCCGTGTCCGTGACGCTTTGTTCCATGTCGCTCACTCTTGGTGTGCCCTCACTCGTCTGACGGAGCTGTGCACGTGCCCCAGTGACCCGTGCGACCGGCCGCGCGGCGCACCCACCCCGGCCCGGAGCCGGCACCCACCGAGGTCGGGCTCACGCTGTTGCAATACTGCAGGGATAGGGTGCAGTGCACGTGCGGCTTGCATCCTGCTCACGCAGATCGAGTGTACCCGCCGAAATGCATGCATGTTAGTTGTAAATAGACGCCCTTCGCGGCCCTTTGGGTCGTTGGCCCTTTGGCAAGGTGGAGACGTGCTCTCATGTGTGTTTGAAAGTTGACTTTCCCGTGTGGTTCTGTGTGTGCGTGTGCTCGTTTGTTTGCCTGTTTACTTGTTTAGGTGTGATGTGTGCGATATGTCTAAGCCTGTATATGGATGCGATTGACTCCCTTATGGGCTTCTATATCCTGTATTTGCGAGTTTGCGCCCATCCGCCACCCATGTGACAGAGTTTTGGCGCGGGCTATGTTTTGCTGTTGGCGGGCGCTGCGGGGGGGGTTCGCTCGCCCTGTTGTTGGTCAGTGGCCGTCTGGAGCGACCGAGAGGAAGGTGCGACGATTTAGATCTCTGATGAAGGTATATATTGGGTGCTGCCACGTGTGGAGCCCACTGCTGGTGTGAAGAGTTGACTGCGTACCATTGGTGTGATGACCAGAACGCTGAAAATACATACAGTCTGCTCGCAAAGCTCTGGTTTTCTCTGTGTTGGAGAAGCTGAAGTGCGAGAGGCACGATCGGAATGTGATGCTATACCAACAGAAACGGAATACGCAGAATGCCGGGACGGAAGTCGAGAGCGTGCCTTTGACGAAACAATCGACACATTCAGTGCTGCACAAATGACGCTTGGCTTTAGCTGAACGAGAATTGATGAGAAGTGAGAAACACGTATCCATGAATTTCTACATAAAGCTTGATCAATCTTTTTAATCCGCTCCAGATACGAGCTTATACCGGTAAAAGGATGACCGCTGAGCAATGTTCCCTGGTCAGCACTTAGCATCGTTTCACCTCCCTCCACAAACAATCCTCCCCGCTCCTTTCTGCCAACTATGCCTGTCGTGACCGGCGCTGGTCAGGCGACTGCTAAAGGCCAAGGTCAAGGTGACCCGCGGCGCCGTCCATCCGCGGTATATCGCCGGGGCATGTCGTGTCGACGTTCGTTGACACGGAGCGGCCCGTGTTTTCACCCTCAACGACACAGACACACCGTAACGATCCGCCCCGATCCTCCCCGCCTGTCGTGAGGTTTAGGAGAGCTTAGACTGCACGGCCGGGCGTGTTATACCGGAGACACGACAGCTCATGGGAACTGTCTCACTGTCTCGCTCCGTCCGCTCCGCGAGGATGAGGCTGTACCGCGAAGGGCAGCGGTCAGGGGCATCTGATCCCGAGCTGAGCCAGTCTTTCATGCTCCGCTGCCCGTCACGGCGCTCGGTCTTATGAGTTTTGACATTGAAACTGAATGTCAGGCATCGTCGCCTTACAGTTACATTTTCCAACAACCTGACATTCTCTGTATCATCGTTGACGCCCGTTTCCAGTGCAGATAAATCCATCCCCTTGTCAGTGTGTCCACAGCAGGCTAATCCTGCTAAGATAAGCCCTCAGGAAGGAACTGAACTTGCTTACTCACTACTCACTAAGACCAGCCGTTCATCTATGTCAGATGTTGTCCCTTTCCCCCCCCCCTCTCTCTCTCTCTCTCTCTCTCTCTCTCTCTCTCTCTCTCTCTCTCTCTCTCTCTCTCTCTCTCTCTCTCTCTCTTCCTCGATTCAACCACAGCCCTGTCGTTTCCATCGTCCATATAAATCTGTTACTTTCGGGCCTCCCCCTGGCAGCGCTGCCACCGCCCCGCGAACGTCCGTGGGCGGTCTAGGGGGTCACCCCCAGGGAGCGGGAAGGGGGGGGGGGTAGGTCCGGGAGTCGCCAGCCGCCGTGGCCGACCTTGACTCTCATGACGCACCGTCGGCGCCGGCGAACTCGACGATCAATGCCTGGCAATGGACGGGAGCGTCGACCTGCCGACCGCCGGCGGCGACTTTGTCGAACCCGTGGGCGGCGGGCCGAGCTCCGAGAAATGTCCCGATCCCTGAGGCGGAAACCCCCTGACCCGACATGGACCGGATGCTGGGGGCGGCAGGGGAGGGTGGTATGGGTTCGGGGTGGCAGAAATTGGGGATGTGTGCCCTGGGATTGGAGTGGGGGTGGGGGAGGTATGGTCTGGGTCTGGTGGGGGAGGTATGGTCTGGGTCTTGAGTGCCGGGAAGGTGTGGTCTGGGTCTGGTGGGGGGGGGGGGGGGAGGTATGGTCTGGGTTTGAAGTGGGGAGGTATGGTCTGGGACTCTGGGTCTGGAGTGAGGGAAGCATGGGTCTGGAGTGCCGGGAAGGTGTGGTCTGGGTCTGGGTTGTGGCGGGGAGGTGTGGTCTGGGCCTGGATCGTGGCGGGGAGGTGTGCTCTGCGAGTGGTCTGGGTCTGGTTGGTGTGAGGAGAACAGAGTTTAGCCTCGGGTAGCGAATAGGTGTGATCTCGTCTCGGCTGTTGGCTTGAGGTGGAGGTGGGGATATGGTCAGTTACGGCGGGCGGGGCCGAATGTGTGGTGTGGGTTCAGACCGCTCCTGTCGAATTGGAGTCGCCGCCAGCAATTCTGCTTCTTCAGCTTATCCCGCTGCGAAGGTCCCACTGTTTCGGAGATGATCCCAAACGGTTGTCATGGGGTGTTGCCATGCTGAAGGCCCAACCGTATTACTGAGGCATGGCGACTACACCGCAGAACAAAAGACGCCGTGAATTGAACAGTAAACTGCGATCATACTCCTAGTCCTTAGGTAACCCCCTTATGTAACCACTCTCCTTCCCCGTTCCGGTTGCCCGTCCGGACTTCCCTGGTTTCCCGCCACTGCCGTGCTCCTCGGTCCTCGGTGCCATCTTTTCCTGCCGACCGATGTCATCAGCCCCCTGAGTTCGCGTGCAGCCGGCACGGACTCAGATTGGCGCCACGGACGCGGGAAGTCAGCCCCCTCACTATGTGGGTCACTGGCATTGGCGCGCGCGGCCGTTTTCCCGCCATTGTCTGTTTCAGATGGCGCGCTGCACAGCGGCGGCGGTGGCGGGACGGATAGGCAGCCCTTTCAGGCCGATTGGAGGGCCGTATCGCCCGTGGCGCGGCCGGTCGGTCGGCGCAGGACGGTTGGTGGAGGACCGCCGGCGATCGGGGACAAGGTCAGAGCTCGGCCGGCGACACGGCGAGCCCGCGCGCCGACCTCGGCGACATACGAGCACTCGGCGGCGCCCCCCCCCCCCCTGCTCCGCCGACCACCCGCAACCTTGACGCACCGCTCAATGCGGCGGCTTGAATCGACGCAGCCGCCGCGCCCGGGTGCGGCCGGGACGGACGGACGCTCGACCGTACAAACCGGGTTAGTTTCGGACGGGTGAAAAGTTCCGAGGGCCGGATGCTAATCTGACGGCGCGCCACTCCAACATTGACGCCTCGTGTGGGAAATATGGGTCACGGCGCACACTTTTGATTGGATGAATCCGGCCGTCGAGTCGGCACCGCGCCGCGCCGGCCATCCCAGCACGGCATTCACAAGTAGTTCCAATTACCAAATGACCGCGATTCCGGCCGGCTGGCGCGGCAGCGCCCGCCTGTAAATCTGGCCCGGTACATGGCAGCTGTGGCCTTGGGTCGCCCTGGAAACGATCCGCTGCAGATACCGGCCCGTTCCCGCGAAACCGTGCAATCTTATCACCTCGGGAACATGGCGGCCACTCCCGGCGCCAGCCAACCCACCGGTGTTCCTATAACGGACCGCTGACCTCCAAACCCTCCCGGCCGACATACAGGCAACACGCCGCCAAAAACCAGCCCATGTATTCAGTGGCCGCGGACCAGGGTGGGGCCGGTGGGATTCGCGCCCACTTCAGACACCTCACTGGTCGCCTGAGCTCCGCGCCAACCCTTAACTAGCGCAGCCGCGAACGGCGAATGGTCACTTAAACGGTAACCCTGCTCAATGCTCATTCCAACCGGGGAATGAAATGACGGCCCAACGCGGGGAGTACATTAAACACAGTGCACGCATCCATCCGGTGCTCGCAGGTAAACAAAGCGGTCCGCGCGGGGAACGGTGGGGATGCCGGGACATCGGCAAATCACACTCACACTAACACACTTTTACACTCACTAACTCACTTTCAAACTCACACTAACTCACTTTCACACTCACTCACTCAGACGACGGTAAAACGCGACCCATTCGGCGGCGGTGGGCGGAGGCAGCATCGGCGGAGTAGTTACATAAATCACACATCACCCGAACGATAAAAACACGTGTGACGCTAAGTAGCGCCACGTCCAGCGTCACGTTACACTTGGTCACTCTGCACTGGCCAGCCAAGACATCGAAAATGAGTGTCAAACACCAGCGCCGGCACAAATCACTCTCACACTCCCAAGTGTGCACCCACAGACGTTGGAACACGGTGAACGATGATGCTGATGAACTTTTAAGCGCACTCTCACACACATGACTTCAGAGCGTTGCACTCGTAAGACGGCAGTTGAATGATGACTTTCACCTCTCAATGCTTCGTTATTAGACGCTGAGAAGGGCAGCTTCGACGTTCGCAGAGGTGACATCCAGAGCTGATGACAGAAGAGGCCGCGGCGTACCCGTGTCTGCAACAGACAGGCGGCAATTACATGTTGCTCGGAAGACTGAGCAAAACCACCATCAACAGAGTCCGTAGTAGAACGTATAAATCATATTTCAGACATCGGTAACGCAAAATAAATTATTGTTTCAGTTACATTGTCAAAGGAAACTGAAAGCTCTGTAGAAAATATTTCCGAACACCTGATCACCCGGAAACGATTGTTTGCTCCAACTTCCATCAGTAAAAGAATACTGTGCTCCCTACAGTCCCGTACGCATTCGTGACCCTCCCATCCGTACCTGCGGGCCGCCGGCCGCCGGCTGGCAGTCGCTCGGTGTCGGTGTGTCCGTCCTCCGCTGGAAGCCGCCCGCTGCTCCGTCCTCCGTCAGAGCGCCGTCCAGGACCCCTCAGCCGCCGCTCACCGTTTGTCGTGACCCAGTCATGGCGATCGGGCACATGAAACGCGAGCATACCGAGACACAACTGAAACGGAGGCACGAGTAAAGCACATGTCGAATTCCAGACGCGAGGGCGACAACGACACTGAGAGAATGATAGCACAACGTGAACAATTAGCTCTTTGATGAATGGATCTCGGACGGACTGCTGGAATAGGACGGACCAGGGGCAGGACCGCTAACGCGACAGGACGACGGAGTGTGAGGGAGGACGGACAGTCCCGGGCCAGGTCAGGCAGTTTCAGTAGACGCCGCGGCTAAGCCGCTGAACAGAGACAGAGAGGGGGAGAGGCGCGGGTCGGGCGGGGGACGGGGGCAGACTTTAGAGGCGTGTCGCGGAACAGGCCAGTGGCCGGTGGTCGGCGGGCGCACGGCGCGGCCCGGCGCGGCCCTATCCGCTCAGCGCGGCGACGCACAGACGTCTGCGAACAATAAAAACACGGGGCGGCCGCAGTCAGCTGCTGGTCCCGGGCTCGGCTGCTCCGACGCACGGCTGATTCCTCCAGACGCCACTCGTACCCCCGGCGATAGGCGCTGAGCGCGGTAGGCCACCGAACCGTGACTGA